TTTCTAAAGGGCGATTCTGTTCTTTGTTAAAACTTGCTGTCGATGCCTCTGTTATCTCTCCGGATTTCGTAACCACAACCCAACTATTTACAATGCTCTACGAGATGGGCTATACTGATGTTCTTACAACAGTGACGAAGGTTAAGAAATCATGTTTGCCGCCACAATGGAATGGATTGCTTACTCTTCTCATCAAAAGTTTAGCGGAGAGGGTTGCTGGGTCAGATGGTACCAGTAAGGGTTTTCTGACCATTCTCTATGGTCTATATAATGGAATTAATCTTGATTACGGGTCAATCATTTGGTCGCAATTGGTACAAAGTCTCAACACTTCGACGAGACATTCTGAAATTTCTTGTGGTCGCTTCTGGATCATCGTCACACGCAGGGTCATTGATACTTTGCAGATTCCAGTAATGAAGGATGCATTGGTCTCTTCTGTGGCTACTTTTCATACCAAGAAGATCATCTTCTCTGATGCCACAAAGTTCTCCCACAATGGTTCCATACTTGAGACGATGTACAGGTGTGTGTCAGCCGAAAGTAAGGTTATGGCTGATTACCGAAAGCTTCCTCCCAAAGGACCGAGAGCACTGACTCCTGAACAGCAAGCTGCTTTAGAAGCTGTGGAGAAGTCAGCCAACCGAGGAAAAAGGGCAAATACCAAGAAAGGGACAACCGAATGTCCTTCGTCTAAGCCTGCCAAGTCTAGAAAGCGAAAGGCAGAAAAGGGTGCTTCATCGGCACCAAAGAAGGTTAAAAAGATGGTGAAGAAATCAAAGAGTCCTTCTCCTTCAAGCTCAGACAATGATGAGGAGGATGAGGAAGAGGAAATTCAGCATCATGAATCACCGAGAGGTACACACCACCTCCTCGTGTCTCCTCCAACTCCAACCGCGAACCTCTTAATGAAAACATTCCAACACCTCCTCCATCTCTACCGAAAACCACTGTTCCAATTTCGGTTGCTCCTATTACACCACCTACCACATCTCAAACAACAACTTTTGTACCACCACCACCACCATTTAGTACCATACCAATTTCTACAACTCCTTTACCACCTCCTATCTTTTCACAAGCAACTACTACAACCACTCCTACATCCACAACAACTGAACCTCCAGTAAACGTCAACGTATCTGATACGGGGGCGAATACTGAAACCGAACCTCCTATTACATCCAAACCATTTCAACATTCACCTCACTGCAACCGATTCTGGTGATACTCTAGGTGGTGATAAGGCTGAGTTTGACTCGACTTTAAAGTCCCTATCATCGGCTTCCAACAGACGACGAGTGAAGAGGCTCCGTCTCCACGACAACAATTGCAGAATATTGATGAGAAGCTTGATCAACTGCTTGTCGCTTCCAAGTCATACAACGATGTTGTGCTCAAGGCCTTTCTTGACACCGCTCTTGAGCAGTATACGGGGGCTATTGAGGCATCCACACAGGCAGTTGACGCATCCACTTCTTCTTGCAAGAAAGCCACTACTGAAGTTGCAGAACTTGTTCACAGCTCTCAGATTTTTCTCGAATCACTCAAAGGACATGCTGATTCAAATGCAGCCAAAGTGAACGCTTCAGTTGATTCCTTATCTAAGTCACTAAAAGAGGAGGAAGCTAAATTTGAGTCTGTTCGTTCTTCCATTCAAGCTGAGAACACTTCTCTACTTAGCTCAGTGACTTCTCATCTTCAAGCACTCCAAGCTGATTTAGCAAAGGAGAGTGCATTAAAGGAAGATCTTGCATGCCAAGCCTCTACTATTGAAGTTCAGAAAGTGCAATTAGCTCAAGCTGAAAAGGAAATCTCACTGTTGAAGACTGAGCGAGCTGTATTTAGGAGTTGTGCTGGGGATGTCAAGAATATGCTTACCAATCTTCTTAGTGCTCATGATCCTATACTTACTCTAACCATCAGGAATCATTTGACTTCCAAGCTTCTTCATGCCTTTGCTCTCTTACATGAAATGAAGGGGTGTTTCGGAGAGATTCGTACCTCCAAAACAAGGGGGAAAAGGTGCTCACACTACTCAACCGAAGGTCACAGTCAAAACCGAACCAAAGGGTAATGAAGCTTCGGGTTCTGGTAATCAAGATAAGAAAAAGGGATTGGATGACGATAGTGATGAAGAAGAAGAAACAATTGCTGAGGCCCTGAAGTGAAGAAAAGGGATAAAGAATTGGATGAAACCCTTCGGGTTGCGAAGGAAGCTGAAGAAAGGGAACGAAAGAACAAGGAAGAACAAGATGCCTTAAACTGCAAAAAGGCCTTGTTTCCTCTTTGGATAAGAGAAACGCTCATCAAAGAGGCAATAGATTTTCCAAGTGTATACTGGCTGAAACCTGTCGCTTCTTTTGATTGTGAAAATTCAAGGGACTCGCAGTTCGACATGCCTATAACACGAAAGGCATTTACATTTCATTGCTTTGATTCGATTGTTCAAGTTCCTTTCCCTCATCCTAAAGTTGATCGCGAACTTATCGATTTTTATCTGAAGTTCGGTCAGCCTCAGTACCTGACATGGAGTGCACAGAAGATTATTACTGTCAAGGTGATGAAACCTTCGCCTGCCGGGAAGTTTATCAATGTTAGTTTCAAAATAACCTGAGGATCAGCAAACTTGGTTTCGGTTATATCCCTGGCAGATCTTCCAAATTTGAATCCTCATGATTGGATCTTGTTGTTTAACATACTGCTCACCAATGCGAAAGAATATGAGCTGATCCTGGATCATCTAAAGAGGATGTTGGCCTCCTATATCCATGAAGTAGTTGCAATGGATCAGGAGATAGCTAAAGTTTGGAATAAGAAACCCACTGTAAAGCCAACAGCAAAACCTGGAGATGTGAATAAAATGAAGATGGGCTAAATTGATTCTACACATCTCACGGTGATGTTCACAAGAGGCGAAGCCAATAGATTTCTTTTCGCTCTTGTTGATAAACATTTGTTCTCAACGGACTGCTTAGAGCACATAATTAGTATCATCCATCGGTGCAAGCAGAACTCTGAGGCAGACAAGAAGAACTTCACGGACATGCTTCGGTGGTATATCACGTTTCGTCATACTCTTTTGGCCATGATACCGAAGGTGTTCAAGACTATCAAGAAGTCTTTTATAGCTCAACCGAACTGAGCTTTCGTCTCCATTGACGCAAAGGGGGAGATTGTTGGGTATGTTATGTTGCGTCATGGGCTTAGTTTTGTATATCCGGATTGGGCCTGTCCATCCGTGATTATTATAAGGTTTAGCTATAAATAGTGCATGCATGTATGCCTTAGAAACTAACGTGATTATAGTTATTATTGCTTTGTAACCCTAAACACCTCTACAGTCGAAGTTCTTAATCGAGCTCTTCTGAGGTGTTAAAGTTTAATCATTCGACATCAGTTAAACCATTCATGTGTTCTTCATTACGTCTTTAATTGTTTATCTGCTTAGAATCTATCGATCCTACTAGAACTTTGTTCTAACACTGCCTCATGTTCATATTCAGTTGATCCATGAGGTACCTCAAACTCTTGTGATCCGTGTAAATGGTACACCGGTCCCCATAGAGGTAATATCGCCAAATCTTGAGGGCGAACACCACTGCCCCCAGCTCTAAATCGTACGTCGGATAGTTAGCCTCATGAGGCTTCAACTGCCTCGATGCATAAGCTATCACATGACCCCTTTGCATCAAAACTACTCCCATGCCTGTGATTGACGCATCACAGTAAACTACGAAGTCATCTATACCCTCTGGCAAGGTCAAAATCGGTGACTCGCATAACCGCTGTCTGAGGGTCTCGAAGGCTGCCTGTTGCTCAGGCCCCCAGCGGAATACAACCAACTTCTTGGTCAGTTGGGTCAACGGAACTGCAATCTTGGAGAAATCCTAAATAAATCTCCTGTAATACCCTGCCAGGCCCAAGAAACTTCGAATCTCAGTTGGAGACCTCAGAATCTCCCACTGCATCACAGCCTCTATCTTGTCCGGATCGACCTGTATACCCTTCTGGTTGACAAGGTGCCCAAGGAATTGCACCTCGCGCAACCAGAACTCACACTTGGAGAACTTCGCGAAAAGTCTCTCCCTCCTCAGTGTCTCTAGCACCTCCCTCAGGTGCTCCTCATGCTACTCCTGAGTCTTGGAGTAAACCAAAATGTAATTAATGAAAACTATTACAGACCGATCCAGCATCGGTCTACACACGCAGTTCATGAGGTCCATGAACACGGCTGGAGCATTGGTGAGCCCGAACGGCATCACCACAAACTCATAATGACCATAGCGAGTCCTAAAAGTGTCTTCTGTACATTATCATCCCTGACTCACATCTGGTGATACCCTGACCGTAGATCAATCTTGGAGAACCAAGATGCTCCCTGGAGCTGGTCAAATAAATCATCTATCCTCGGAAGTGGGTAACGGTTTTTCACCGTTACCTTGTTCAGCTCCTGGTAGTCTATGCACATGCGATGTAACTTGTCCTTCTTCTTCACAAACAGGATCGCGACTCCCCATGGTGAACTGCTCGGCCTGATAAAGCCCTTATCCAGCAGCTCTAACAGCTGCGTAGACAACTCTTGCATCTCGAGAGGAGCCAGCCGATACGGTGCCTTGGCTATCAGAGCCGCACCAGGAACCAGGTCAATCCTAAACTCAACCTGTCTCTCCGGAGGTATCCCAGGTAAATCCTCTAGGAATTCGTCCGGGTACTCTTGCACTACCGGTACATCATCAACTGTCGCCTTACCCTTATCCCGGGTATCCATGACATAGGCGACGTATCCGGCGCAACCTTGCTTAAGGTGGCGCCTCGCCCTCGCTGCTAAACAGAGAATCAGTCCGCACTGTGGCCTCTCACCCTGAATCACTATCTCTCCCCCACTAGGAGTATGAACCCTCACTAGCTGCTGCTTGCAGTGAATCACTGCCCCATTGGGGCTCAGCCAATCCATACCCACTATAACCTTATTCCCGTGCAGGGTAATAGGAACCAGATCCACTGAAAACTATTGATCGAATAACTGTAGCGTACATCTTCTATGAACCCTCGCAACCCTGATGGTCCTATCATCTGCTATCTCTACATCAAGTGGGCAATCCAGCTCCCCCGGAGCTCTACTAAATCGCTTGCTAAGTGCGAGCGACACAAAATATATGGTAGCCCCCGAATCAAATAGTACCATAGCTGATATGCCGTTCACTAAGAACGATCCAATAAACAAACACACAAACATGGAGTAATAATCATAAATAAATAAGAGATAATGGAGAAGATACATACCCATAACCACATCAGGAACTGCACTTGCCTCCTCTATTGTCAACTGGAAGGCTCTGCTCTTCGCCACTGATGACTCAGCCCGGCCCTGACGGCCGTCTGTAATCCTCATAGTGGTAGGAGCGGGTGCCACCACCTGTCCTGCTGATGCTAGACTCGGACACTGGGACTTCTTGTGTCCCCTCTGATTGCACTGAAATCAAATCAGATCAGATGTTGTAGTGGTGGTGATTGTAGCAGTACAGTCCCTGCTGACATGTCCAGTTCGGACGCACTTGAAGCAGCCCAAACTACCCACCCTACTGTTGGATAAGGTGTCTAAGTCCATAACTATATTTGGTATATACTTGACCCGGCATGGCATGGTCCATTTGGGTTGCTCGGCATCTCAAAAATTGGATAGACATAATGAGAAAAAGGACACTTATGGTTTGTTAATATATTATAAGTTCTAATATATTAATATGAAATCATATTATTTAATTAGTATTGATCAAGAATTAATTTGGAATTAATTTTGTGATCAAAAAGAGACTAATTAAATATATGGGGATTGATTTGTAAATCATTCATTATTATGTAGTGGGCTTATGGTTCATGCACTAGATTGGGCTAGGACCCATTGAGTGCTCCATGGATGCTCCATGGAGGTTAAAACCCATGGATCATGGGGGAAATGAAAAGCCATGCACATTAGGGTTTACATTGTGTAACCCTACATGTGACACACTATATAAGCAACCTCAAATGGACCAAAATCGGTCACTATTACAATACAAGGAGGGCTAGCCGATTTTGTGATCAAAGTGTTCTTCTCTGAAGTTATTCCAAGTGTTGTGGTGTTGTGTGAAACATTTGAGGCATCACATTTGGGGTGCTAGGCTCACAAGGTCTTAAGGAATCCAAGCAACAACAAAGGTATGTCATTCTACTAGTTTTTATATTACAAGTACCCATGCCATGCTAGTTAGGATGAGAACCTTGAAAAATCAAATTTGCATGAATATTAGAGAAAACATAGATCCAAGGTTTCTAGGGTTGCATGTACACCATAGGAGTGTTAGAATGCTCAAAACCCATCAGTGGTATCAGAGCCAAGGCTTGTTTTCTTTGTATTTGATGCAAACTGCTTGAAAAAATCGATTTTTCTGCTCACTGTTCAGTCAACTCGCCAAGTCCATGGGGGGACTCGACGATTCCAAGTGAAAATGCATCCTACTCGTCGAGTAGGTTCTTGCACTCGGCGATTAAGAGTCCCTGTGTGTAGAATTTCGAGTTTTGCTGCTGGAAATGGACTAGAATCATTACCCTAAACTGTTTTGGACTTATAAAACCTGTTTTTGATGGTGTAATGATTATGCTAATCCATTTACAATGCTTATTATCAAAATTTTAAGTTTTATATGTGTTTATATGATTCTTGAAATTGTTGATATGAATGTTCGTGCTTATGAGTTTTAGTAAGATCATAGGAATTATTTGCAAATTGTTTGATGATATAATTCTTGATCTAAATGTTATTGATGGAGTCCATAATTTGTCCTCAAGTTATGGATTGCCAAAAGTCACTTCTTTAAATTGTCATTAAAGAACCATAGGTTACATAAAGTTAAGAGTCTTCATTTTAATAAAAACCATTAAACTCATAAGTTATGAATATGAAAGGTTTTGAATAGTTTCAAAACTTGCCCTCAAGTTTTGGAATTTATAAAGTCACTTTAGAAAACTTTAACTCCAAACCCTAGAGTTTTAAAAGTTAAAATTCAACCCTTATACTTTGTAGTATTATAAGTTAATAATATATATATATATATATATATATATATATATATATAAGATCAAGTAAGTTTACCGTTAGTAGGCCTCATTCACGAAGTCGGTCTATAAGGGGGGTATAAGGTTGTTGCCTATAAAATGGCAGCTTAATGGGTGTCCACTTTCATACCAATTTCTTAGTTTGAGTTCAGACACACCCAGGAGTGTGCCCGAATCCCTCAAATCAAGGCTCTGATACCAACTTGAAACATCCTAAAAATACGGTCCAAAAATTTCGTTTTGAAACTAAATATAAAACCATAAATCATCCATAATCATAAAGAAAACCATGTATCATGTATCTCAAATCATCATATCAAATACTGTGATAAAACCATATGATAAAAATATCAAAATCTAAACATCCCAGGCTGAAACTGTGGTGTGTGCCATGTGATCATCCCGAGTCCTTCCCTTTGCTAGTGGAAGTACCTGAAACCAAAACTGAAAACCGTAAGCACGAAGCATAGTGAGCTCCCCCAAACTACCACATACCATACAAATATCATGCAACTAGGAGATACCGGCCCCTCCCACTCTCATGGAGATTCGGGCCCCGCCCACACTCCGTTGTCTAGGAGATTCGGACCCCACCTACACTCCACTGTCTAGGAGATTCGGGCCCCGCCCACACTCCGCTACTAACATGCATACAAGTATCACACAGACAAAAAGTATATCTACCAAACAATTCATGTATCTATACTCAAATAATAAAATGAGGTTCGGGTCCCACCCACACTAGACTACTACAAGATTCGGGCCCCGCCCACACTCAGCTACTAACATATCACTTATACAGGCTGGCCTTGGTGCCTTGTACTCGTTCCTACTGAAAGGGAACTCACCTCGCAAGACTGACTGCTGAAAACTCGAGTGAGGAATCCCTGTCTGCTGCTCCGGTGACTCTCAGGCTATCAATTCCATAACAACACTTAATCAAAATCTGATAATCCTTCTTAGGGTAAAATGACCATTTTACCCCTGGTCAAAGTCAACATCCTGGTCAAAGTCAACCTTCTAGGTTGACCTAACTCGCTGAGTAAGCCTATTGAATCGCCGAGTTCTAGAACTCAGAAACCCTAAAATCGCGATTCGGCTCGCCAAGTCACCCTATGACTCGTCGAGTTCCCAGGCTACCCATCATCACGACTGGACGAACTAACTCGTCGAGTCGTCCTCAGACTCGCCGAGTCCTAGCACAATCAGAAAAGGGACAAGATGATCTACTCGTCGACTTCCTTGGCAACTCGCCGAGTTTCATGAACATCATCGGAGATCCTCGATCGGACTCGCCAAGTTCCCTTATGAACTCGTCGAGTCCCTTGAAGATCTATCCTAAACAACTGGTTTTACACTTCTAAGGCTCCAAAATACAGATCCAGATCATTTCCATGGTCCATTTCTATAAAGTTGGAGACTTGATGGCTTTACACACCTCAAATGGACCCAAACTCAAGTTATAGCAACTTACTTCCAGGAACATGACCATTGCTTGGACAAAAACGGGTTCAAGACCTCTTTTATGGTTCTAGAGGCTAAATATCACAGGAAGAAGGGATTGCTAGGCATGCAACCCATTAAGAGTAACCTATCCTTCTCAAAGGGTCAAAAAGACCCATAAATCAACATCCTGGTCAAAGTCAACCTTCTAGGTTGACCTAACTCGCCGAGTAAGCCTATTGAATCGCCGAGTTCTAGAACTCAGAAACCCTAAAATCGCGATTCGGCTCGCCAAGTCACCCTATAACTCGTCGAGTTCCCAGGCTACCCATCATCGCGACTGGACGAACTAACTCGTCGAGTCGTCCTCAGACTCGCCGAGTCCTAGCACAATCAGAAAAGGGACAAGATGATCTACTCGTCGACTTCCTTGGCAACTCGCCGAGTTTCATGAACATCATCGGAGATCCTCGATCGGACTCGCCAAGTTCCTTTATGAACTCGTCGAGTCCCTTACAGATCTATCCTAAACAGCTGGTTTCACACTTCTAAGGCTCCAAAATACAGATCCAGATCGTTTCCATGGTCCATTTCTATAAAGTTGGCGACTTGATGGCTTTGCACACCTCAAATGGACCCAAACTCAAGTTATAGCAACTTACTTCCAGGAACCTGACCATTGCTTGGACAAAAACGGGTTCAAGGCCTCTTTTATGGTTCTAGAGGCTAAATATCACAGGAAGAAGGGATTGCTAGGCATGCAACCCATTAAGAGTAACCTATCCTTCTCAAAGGGTCAAAAAGACCCACAAATCAACACTAAAAGAGATCTAAGCTATAGGTTATCAAGCTAAGAGCTTTTGTCACACCCCAAAACCGTAACGGCGGAAACATTCAGGGGTGGAGGACGCCATTCACGAAGTCGGTCTATAAGGGGGGTATAAGGTCGTTGCCTATAAAATGGCAGCTTAATGGGTGTCCACTCTCACCCTCCGCTTCCTTGACTGGTGGAGGGTCGTTAGCCGAACGGGTAGGACAAGGACTATAATCCTCATTAAAAGTATAATGAAAAATATAAAGTAACTAAACCTTTTATAAATTCCCAATCTTAGTTACTTTAGGAAAATGTGAAATTGGTGTTATCCCATGAAATTACACTTTGTACCTTACCAAGTCGTTGGTGGAGCGTGTGTGGGTAACCGGCACACTAACATGGACTAGTAAGAGTGGCAAAGGGTGACATAATATTTATCATAGATCGGTGGAGCGCGTGTGGGTAACCGGCACATCGATTAGGTGATAAAATTAAGAGTGCCAAGTTAATTTGCATGGTTATTCACACCTTGTTTGTGATTCTCGGTATCCCAGTCACAAACTTGAGAGGGCATAATCGAGATTTAAACATGTCATTGAAAAGTTCAATGAATCTCAAAAGATATAGGAGTTTCAATCCAATTAAAACCTAATAATTTATTTCGTTTTTCATGGTGGAAATTGGTGAATCATCATTCGCCTACCTTCAAAGATTTTATGACTTGGATTACGGAATCCCTCTTCCAAGTTATAAAGTATTGTGTTGGGTCATAGCCTTAATATTACATTTAGGTGTCTTATTAAGGATTCTATATCTAATCTAAACTTGTCTTTCTTCGTTTCAGATGTCTTCCAACAATGCTGCTTCTGGCTCAAACCCTACCGGCTCCTTCTCTCTCATGAACCTTTGTGGGAGAGTCATCTTTGATGGTTCAAACTTTAGTTATTGGATCAGGAACATCAGGATCGTCACTCGTTACGAGGACAAGGAATATGTCATCGAGAAGGAGCTAAAGGAAATTGATGAGTCTACTACTACTCCAGAGGAGATCGCTAACTTTAGGGCACATGGGAGAGATGCTACCAAGGTGGCATGTATCATGATGTCCATAATGAAAGTTGAACTCCAGAAGTCCTATTAGGACTTTTACCCTTTTGAGATGCACATGGACCTGATGGACTGCTACCATCAAAGTGCTCGTCAAGAGAGGTATGAAATCATCTCTTCCATGATAACAACCTGAATGAAGGATGGTGAACCCATCACGGGCCACATGCAGAAAATGCAAAGGTATGTGGACCGTTTGCTCAAGTTGAATGTAAACTTCCCCAAGGA